GGGGCGGGCAAACAACACTCAAGAATTCCTTACTGATACCACTGGCTTTTATTAAAATAGCCTGGGGCGGGGGGGAAATTCCTACATTTGCAAGAGATCAGCAATTTCGTTTACAAATTACATGCCCCCAAAAATCAGGGCAAATAGTAAAGATGAGAGTATCAGATGCCAACTGCCATCCAGTCCCTGAACCAAGCCAATGGCTGGGCACGATCCTATCTCATGGAAAAATTTACAAGCAGGATAGCAGCCTCATGCCAGTATTGGCCTTTCAACATATAGCTATAGCAGTGCAAGGCTTTACAAACAACTTTATTCAGCACAGCTGTTTGCAGAGCTGAAGATACCACTTCATTCACCTATCCCCAAAGTCAGCTGCCTGTTACCACTCCTGCAGGGCATCACTGCCGGAGTTCTGGTCCTGGACCAGCTCCTGCATCTGCTTCTTAATCTGCTTCAGTCAAAATCTGATGAGCTGGCTACCGTAGTGACTGAAATCGCCCCAAGTGATTTTGCCAGAAGCATATTAGAGAGTGCACAGACAAATTATTCAGTCAGCAAAAAACCCTGATGTGAAACACCACTGCTGAGTGGTGACACACAGCTGGGGAGGTAAATCAGCACAGAAGAGGACAACAGATAACGGGCTACAGAAAGTCATGTTTGTTTTGGGGTTTTGGTGGGTTTTTTTGTTTGTTTTGGCTTTTTTTTCCTTTTTTTTTTCTTTTTTTTTTTTCTTTTTTTAAATAAAAACCAGCCAGGTCCCACTTAAAAAAAAAAAAAACCAAACAACCACAAAACCAAACAACACACCACACCCAAAAAACCCACCAAAACACCCCCCCTCAGCCTTCCCCCCACTAAGGGTCTGTGTTTCCCTGAGTTAAGGTTCAGCTCCTTCCTTTACCCTCTCCACTTCCATCCGACTGCTACTGCTGCAACTCTTCTGCTTTCATCTTCCTGGGTCCTCACTTCTGCTGCCAATTCTGGCATCCAGAGTCTGAGACTAAAGCTAACAGTCCCTTCTTGAGCAAGCTGACTTCTGTATCTGTTCACGAACCCCTGCACCACGATACCAGTTCCAAAAGCAAAGCAGAGATGCTTGTGGTGTCTCTGCAGGGAGCCAGAAAAGGCCCAGAAGAGTTTATTCACTTGGGTTTCAGGTTGTATTTAACGGGGTAACATTTTATTTTTAATAAGTGAAAATTTATAAGTCATTTTGCCTTCCCTAGCCTTTGGAAAAGGTGCTTGCCAGTACAGGGTGCCTGCACCACCATGATTATGTTTTGCCAAGATCCTATCAAATCAATAGCAGTTTATTTTCAGTTATTCTTCCCAAACAGAAGACAGTAAGCAGCAAATACACAGAACAAAAATAAGATTTAAAACCCCAGCAGTATATAATTTCTCACTCTCATTGGAAAAGTGGGCTTCCTTCCCCAGCCCTGTTTCTCCCTGCCCAGCCTCTGAGCATTTTATATCAGTGCAAGCGCAAGCATTGTGTTACAAACCTGCCCAGATAAAACATATTGTATTTTAAGGGACAGGCAGGCGAAAGGTAGTACAATCTCCTCATCTAGTCCTCAAATCTGCAGGGTTTTCTAAAGGGTTTTAGTGTATTTCCTTGCAAAGAAATTTCCTTATTGCAAGCTCCACTTTTTCCAAACAAGAAAATACACCTCTGCAGCCAAACAACACAAAATGCTTCTATAAATAAAAAGATCAATAGTTAACTCTGATGCCAACAAGAATGACACCAAGGGACTGGAGCTGTAGTATGGTAATTGAAATCTGCTGACGCAGCTGCTGCTCAACATAATTCAGGGAACTGCAGCAATAAAACTTCTCTGTTCTGTCACTCCTTACAATTAGTCCCAGAGCTCTCCAGTCATTTTAACCAACAGCACTCTCCATAATTACTCCACTGCAGACACTAGACCTGCCAGCAGATTTTACATTCTCTAGTGCTTCATTAGGATTAAAAGAATCTAACTAGAAGCTTTATCAAATTATTAGCTATTATCACACAGAAACTAGAAACACACCTAGTAAGAATGCTGTTGAATATACGTGGGGGTGGAGGAAAGCTTCACTATTCTAATAAATCAAAAATGAAACAAAAGAATCTGAGCATACTCAATAGCAAGATTTTAACTGGAACGTATAAAACATCCATCCCATCTCTGTCATTTCCTTGTTGCTGGGAAGACCAGCCTATCAGAGCTGTTCCAATCCACAAAAAGGAAGAAAGTCCATGTAAAGTCTTATTCAATCACTATTATACAAACCTTTTCATTAAAGTGTGCAAATCTAAATAATGATGTATTTGCAAGTCATCTTTAAAACACTTCAATGGCACAATTCTTCCAAATATAATTTAAAACAATTTCTGTTTACATTTGTTTTCAATTCAGTAGTATCAGTTGTTTATATTGGAAAGAACTAGTTCAAGCAATTTGAAAATGCTTGGTAATACACTGTTTAATTGCTGTTCCAGGGAAGAAACCAAACCAGGATTCAAAACCTCCATTCTTACACACAACCCCAGTAACGTTAACTTTCTTTTTTTGCACTTAAACATTTGCTCTTGGATTCTAAAAGAAAGAATAGGGGGGATTTAGAGGATTCTAGGCTTCGTATTTTGCATTACTGTTACCAAAAGTATACAGATACCAGTCAGGTTTAAAAAACAAAACAAAACAAAACACCACCACACACATCTGCATTTCTTTCTCCTCCTGCCAAACACACATGCATGGAAGTTTTCCAATTACGTGAACAAACAGATACATTTGATCTATCCTGCATATGCATCAACTAAACAGTCTCCGAGCTTTATAATCAAGAATTTATAGGCATAAATCCTGTCCCAGGCTCCAGTCCAATTTGAGAAGGTAAAACCTCCTCTTAGAAATTGGTTCTCAATTAAGACTGAAAATTTACAACGGATAAAAGGAGTGGGTAATACATGCGTCTTTCAGAATAAAAGAACACCTACCTGAGGTTTCCTAACAAAGAGCAATGGTTCAAGGAGTCAGAAAAACCATTTTGCTTGCACACACTCTGTATGTTCTATACTTATTTCAGAGAAAGGATTTTACTAAATTGGCACAAACTCTGCATTATCCATTACAAAATGCAAGGCCTCTGTCTATGTAAAGAGCCTTACTACTTTTTCTCCCTTGGACCTTTGCTGTAACTTATTTTATACAGCAGCCATTTCAACAGTGTACCATCTTAAGGTATCACAGCCATAAATCATCTCATTCTTTTTCCTTTTTGTCCTCACTTCTCAACTCTCCACATAGTTGTGCTGTGCACTTTGATGGGCTCTTGAGGATGAGTAATGATGGGAATAAAGACGGCTTTGTTCTTTACATCTCTGAGTGGATGCACTGCATTCTGCCATACTTCCCAGGTAATCTTGCTATTCCAGTCGGAGTACACCGAGATACAGATCCACTAATCCTACCATCCTGAATGGTCATTCTGTAAAGGATTTAGGTAAACCTTAGGGTGTGGACCATCTTGAAATTAATTTTCATTGGCGAAGCAAGACTAAAACACAAATACCAGTAGGTAAAAAGTAGTGCACAAACCCTTTCAGCCAAAAGGCTCAATGAACGGATTCTGTGTGTTCTATCTTCCCTCCATCCAGTTTCACCACTATCTGTTATTCCCAAATCCTTTTCATTCCTTTTCTTATGCAGTGTAATTCATGTCATGATTCTATTGAGAAATAGGTTTCAAGTAGCACAAATGAGAATGTTAATTGATGCAGTCAGATATTTTTAAAACAAACAGAGATTCAATGCTTGGCATATTCACAAGAAAAGCTACCAGGGAAAAAACTCAATTCTAAGAGCCATCTGACACTCATTACTCACCATCAACCTACTTCAAGGTAAAACAACTTTGTAGCTTCCTATTTATCACAGAGAAATCACACAACCTATATAACTAAATGACCTTAAACAAAAAAAGGGACAAGCGTTTTCTGTTTAAGAAGCAAGATAGCAAAACTTGCTTATTTATGTATAGTAAGTTTCATTTAATGCTCAAAATAGTCTCTTTTTCTCCTGGAGAGTTCTTACTGGCAGGCATTCACCAGATCCCCTGGCATTCCATTTGCGTAAGATCACACCTTCAGAAAAGAAGGGTGGAGGGGAGATGAAGTTAACCCTTGCCCTGATCGTTTGTCACTGGGTAAAATGCCTTGGGATAACTACATCAGTTAATCCTGGTGGGAAAGCTACGTAAAAACAAGACATGACCTGAACCAAAGTTTCCCCGGTAATTCAATTACAAAGGAATTCTTAACTATAGCACTGAAATCTCCACTGGTTAGCTTTCCTTCATTCAGACCTCATCTCTGCAAAGACAGCGTAGGAATCTTCATCATAACCACTGCATATAGTTGTGACATGAAAGATAACCAGTCTGCTCCAAAAATGCACGATTTTGGTTTTAATTCTAAATGTAGAGAAATTAAAACTCACTGGGAAACAGAATTTTACAATGAGTGCTGACAGAGCTATAAACATAACATGGCATTTACCGAGTTGGTTACAGACACTACAGTTTTGCTTGTGGAGGACTAAGCTCTAGTTTTACTTCAAGGTGGTTGAGTCACTTTTTGTTGTCCTCCCACAGCACATAGCTGCAGTATTTCAGCGTGAAATAAGGACACTCACTACTGTACTGCTATCTTCACAGTCTGGTATCACAGATATGGCTCTTCCCTCATTCATATACCCTCATGTCACAGAGCATTAATTATTAGAACTAATGCAAGCGTAGGCATGAATTTTGATTGGGGAAAATGAAGGCTGAGATTCCCAACTTGTGTGCGAAATTAAACTTGATTACAATTGAAACTAATGCAAATGCTGCATTTAAGCTCCATTTTGGATAACAGCCTGTTTTTTGTTATATGCTAGCAAAAGGCATCCTAGGCCATCAACAGGACTCCACATACAAAAATGGAAATAAAAATCCTAGACAGTCTTGATCTTTCCTCCAGTCCTTCAATCTGTAATGAAATACTCATTTCCCCTTTCCCAAGGGATTTTTAAAAATGCATGTGTGTAAACAGAATGCGGCGATATTCATCGGAATGAGACTTTATACCATAATTTGATGAAGGGATATCAAGATTATAATAGTACCTTTCTTTAAAATAAGCAAATAGGTTTCTATATTAACTGCATACAGAAACTGGTATTTCTATACCATGACTGATTTTTTTTTTATCTAGGCAGAGTGATATTTCCCTATTTAACTGCACATCTGGTTTCAGTAATCCTACAGCTGCTACCTATTGGTATGCCTTCCTTTTGTTTTTACCTCCTTTCCTGACAGACTCAGGAATAATTGGAAAATAAATAAAAAAAATATAACATACAACTAATGACTGATAAGCAGCATGAAAAGTTGCAAATTCACATGAATGCTGAGTATGACCAGAAAACAACTTTGTACTGGAATGGCTAAGGGGGACTTTACCTTCCACACCTACAATGACCAAAAATAATCACCTCTGGTGAAAAAGGCACAGAATTAAAATCAAATTGAAAATCACAGATAATGGTAAAGCTATTTTAGGTTGGTCTCTGTTTGAACAAACTTCCATGACAGCATATACACAGAAGACATGCTCTGCATACAGACATCTTCAGCTATCTTAAATGCTCTGTGACAGCATGTACTATAGCTTCTTTTTGGGTTTTGGTTGGGTTTTTTTGTTTGGTTGGTTTTGGGGTTTGTTGTTGTTGTTTTGAGGGTGGTGGTTTTTTTTTTTTAAACTTACCAATAAAGCAGATGTATCACTGAGGAAAAGGCACAGGACTGGATTTGTTTGTTTGTTTTTAAAGACTCATCTTAAAACTAGAAGACCAGGTATAGCCATAGTCCTTACATTACTGATGTGCAACTAAGATAGTTAATAAAGCTCTTTGACTATTTATTAAGGAAAAGACTGTGCCTGTCTCATACAGCACAGACTAGACCTACAGAGAAAGGCACATTGCAAAGCCAGTCACCCAAGTGAGAAGGGAAAGAAGAGCAGCTCGTACATGGAAGGCACAAACTTTACCAACACATTCACTTTTATACATCCTCCTGGCCATTAATGGGTTTCCGCATAAGAGATGATAACAAAGATGTTAGAAAGCACTGAATTGCAATCTTTAAAATATTTATACAGACCTACATAATCCAGTACCTTTAAACCACAAAGCAACATACTACTGCTTTATTCTTACTCCCATTATCACCCGAAGAGCCTGTGACATATTTTCCAGTTACAACTTGCACCTTTAATTAAAGCACACGTTCAGCTTTAAGACTAAAAGACTTGCAGATCAGTCTCAGAAGAGCAGGCAGCACTGTAATTATTTCCAATACCAGCTTTGCCTAAACAAGGGTGACTTAAGAATAGGACTTAAAAAGCCAATAGTTTCCTTTTCAGCAGTCGGGTATTTTTGACAGTAGGGTCACACGCAACCTTTACTGCTGTTTTGCCATACCCTCACGGGAAACATAATTTGCATTCCCTTTATATTTGCAAATAGAACACAATCCCTTTTGGGGTAAGAAACAGCCAGCATATGTGTAAAAAAATTTGCTATTGTGGCAAACAGCACTCACCTCCTGAAAAAGCGTAGACATTTCACAGACCAGACATGAGCTGGGGCTTTGCATTTCACATTTGTGCCTGTCGGAGAGGAAGAAATCTCGCAGCAGTGGAGTGTGGGTAAGTGCCTGGACAATACAGTTCATAAAACATGTGTTCCCAAGATTGATTAGCCCTCGTAGACCTATAAAGACAGAAGGGGGAAGGGATGCATAAGCATTATCAAGTTAACAAAATGGTGTATTTGCATTTTTATATAGTTTTCACAATATTGCCACAGATTTACTGTATATGCACAGCTCCAAGTACGCAGTTTTATATTGGTTTAGGTAGGCTATTGGTTTTGATGTACTCAAGGCACAAGCTGCCACAAAAGCTTTCTGACCTACACTAGGATTTGTTTTCTTAAATTCTCAGAAGAAAGGAAACCTTCAAAGTACAGCAACACCAATAGCATTATTTTGCAATGGCTGTTTTGCCATACATCACCAAACTATGCCCCCTCCCCAAGCTGATGCCAAAGTGCAATGACAAGAACTGGTTAAGTCACTATAATACGAACCAATACATTTAAACAAATCAATAAGTAAGATTTCAGGTAGTTTAAACGGCTTTCCCTCACGCAAGTCATGAAACCAGAATAAGGTTTTTGTATTGTATAATGCAACAATCATCTAAGACAGGCAGCAAAGGAAACAGCCTTGACAAAACACAGTCAGGCTGTGACATCCAATGCAGACTTTGCATATCCTTTTTTTGTACAAAACCCAAGATCCGAACAACATAACCTTAAATAGAAACTCTGAACAATACTAGTTCCACACTTGTTTTAGCTAAGTTAAACATTAATCTACAGTATACATCAAAAAATTCAACTTGGCATAAGAGGATTCATCACACCTTAAGTCAAACGTTCAGTAATGCCCAGAGACGATTTCTTGTGCTTGGAAACCAAGATGCTTAAAGGAAAGCTCTTTTGTTGCACAACAGAAGAGAGGTTAGGAGTGGGGAAAGCTTTCAGTCATTTGCAAAGTCTAAGCGAGAAGAAAAACATGCTCAAATCCTTGAGTATTCTTCCAAAATGTTAACATAATACCACCATACAGGAGTGCTAAACGAGAAGAGCATCAGGTGGACAAGAATGCTTATTTTTAATCAAAAACTTACTTTGAAACAAGATAAAAATGCACTGATAGACACAATTCTGGCATTAATTTAAAATTAACAGAGTCCTCTTCTGCAATATAAATGGGATTACTACACAAACGGTGAACAAAAAAACAGGATTACTTGACAGAGAACGAAGAATTTCCTTGCCATTCCATGGGGGGAAAAAAGTATCAGCTGGCAATGCTGTGGTAATTAAAAACGGTGCAGTTCCCTTGCAGTACACCAGATAGTGCTCAAAGGGCTCTTTAGCATCTTTCAGCATCAGCAGGAGGAGGTGTGGTCCAGTTGCTATGTTACCAGAGAGAAACGGCACTACATCAGCTTGAACTGCATACTGAGCTGTAGGCGATGGACACAGAGCCCTCTTAAATTTTCTTTCCTGTATCTAATGCAACACCGTCCTCCTTCCAACGGCTTCCTGTTGCTTCTGTTTACTCAAAGCGCAGGACAAAGTTTCTCATTATATTATTGTAACTTCTACTGGGCAAAAAGCATATTGCAATTATTTGCTTTATTTTCATGCTGGGAGGCAACAAGTGTACGCACGACATTAGCAAAGTGTTAAATAGTTAATTTGTTGTAGCAGCTTGAAATATGGTGTGATGCTTCAACTTTGTACACAATCCTATTTTAATCCCCAGTCTACATCTCCGCAAACAATGTTGTAACAGAAAGGTGTTCATGCTGTGCAAGTGAAGAAATGTTTGGTTGGTACCTCTTGCCTGCCTCTCCCCTGTATTTTCCATTTAAAACTTACTGTTTTTATTTAAAATCACAGACTGTGCAAACAGAAGCCTGTAAGGCTCCCTGGACATGCCTGAGATGTACCAGGGTACTCTGAGAAGCAGCAGTCTCTCTCACTATTTCCCTCTGGAAAACTCGGTCCCTCTGGTTAGCGTCAAAATTCAAAGTCAGCCTGCACAGCGCAAAAGACTAGTGGAAAACCGGTAGTACATTTAGAGACTCACCCTAGCACTTTTCTTTTCAATATCTAGTTGAGCAATCCCAAGTAAAAGCAAACACATAAAGGCAGCTTTTTGGAATCATTTATTAAGCATCATTTATTACATGCCTGTGGCTGGACCTTCTTTCCCTGTGACCACAAGAATCAAATCTTCCTCAAAGTTGCCACCAGAAGACTAGTTACAGGCGTCAAACTCAGAAGGCTCTCTTGGTTTGCTCTACTTGCTTGGTGTTTTGGTGTCAGTTTTTCATGGGTCTAAATGGAGTGCTTCATACACTATGACTTCACTTGCATGAGCCGAGACAAAGTAACCTGCAAAACAGACAAGGCTGAAACGTGAATACTCTAAACCCTAATAAAAATAAGAAAATGGTGAATGTAGCAAAACATGAGAACTTACTTGATTGAAAAGGGAAAAATGTAAAGGGGCATACATCGGTCTTATCCTTGAGGTAGCAATGACTGCACCTGCTATACTGTCTCTTAAACTGACGTTTGAAATGAAACAGGTATGATGCACTGAACTACAGCCAAGATACTGTGTAACTAATTGCAGCATCTTGGAAAACATCAAAATCTGATGTATGTAAACTAAAGAGCTGGCAGAACTCAGAACAACACATCCTCATGTGCTTAACTTTTGTGGGAAAAAATTAGTTTTGCTGGAAAGAAAAATAGCTAAAAATTAAAGCCTATACAGCATTCTGGTCATTAAATATTAAGAATTTAAAAGACTTGTGTCTGCCACACCTATTCCCTCCCCATTAATAAAGTCTGGCAATATTTAACTGGAATCGTCAAGCATTGCAATATGTGGGTCATAAATTGACAGAAAAATAATGTGCCAAAACCTCAAATGCAGCAGTCCACTTTTACTAGCATCAACAGTTGTCTCCACTAGCACCTAATCAGTGGACAGTATTTTTACAGATTGGGCTGTCTAAGGATTGCCAACAGGATCCAACCTCTAGTAATAAAGCTGTGGTACTTCGCAGACTTCTGCGCTTCATAGTGTTACCTTTATTTCTCTTTCTTATGAACTGCTTCTGAAATGAGCAAGAGCAACCAGTGAGATACTTAATATATTCTATACACAGATGTATGCTCTTGTGGTAAGTATAGTTAGCAGAAAAGCACTGTTGTACTTCTGAACCTTGCTGATGTAAATGTAAATATTGGAACAAATTAATATCGCTGTCAAGACAAAATTGTCATGTATGGTATAATCATAAAAAAGAAAATATCCTTTAATCATCATGCATGGTGTACGACCACTACTCTCATTCTGTCACATGCTGGACAGGCAGGGCATAAACAAAGAAGCAAGAAATCTACTTCTGCAATGCCTTGAGCACAGGTAAACCCATCTGGGAAATTCTTTTTACATTTGGTCTCAAAACCAGGTTCTAAGCAGCTGGCTTACCTTTGTCAGCTTCAGTTCTTCAATCTTCTTCCAGTAACGGGTTTTGTTTTTTCAAATGCTCAAAGTAATAAATCTGCAATACTGGGCAACAACGCTTGTTGTGATGCAGGGAGATCTAGAGCACTGGTTCTGCAAGTCCACCCACGCAGGTGAGATGAAAAAACCAAAAGAAGATAAGGAAATTCCACTCCTCTGTGAAATGCAACTGTACAGCTATTAAAGGTGGGGAAGCGGGGAAATGAGAGGACCACACATGAATACAAAATACAGAAAAAACAATCAGGTGCCTATCTTGCTTTCCTGGAAGAGGTTCTGTTTGTCTCTAAAACTAGCTTCATGCTGGCATACGGAAGACAGCAAACAAACCAGTCTGAACAAATATTACCACACAGAAACTGATTTATTTGAATAAAGGTTCTGGAAGTAAGAACACAGATCACTATGTAATGCAACTTTGTGAGACAATCAGGAAATCATTCAGATGCACTAAAGCACAGCCAGCTTGAGATCCTTTTTACATTAAACACAGGTCAGCAACACCTTAGAGCAATTTTTTGTCCCCTACTCCCAGCCCTCCCAGTTCCCCATCTGGTGTTGATGTTTCCCTGAAGCTCCATCAGACAGTATCAGAAGTCAGCGCAAACTGAGGAAGTGCTCACTGAAATATTTAAAGAGACTTCAACACAACCCTTGGAAACAAACAGTGTAGCACAGCAATGAAGATTTCTAGAACAATTTTGGGTTTTCATCCTATGTTCATCAACAGGAATTGCAACATCATTTAAGAGCATCTTTCTGAAAATGTATTTCAGAGGAGAACTGCCCTACTTATTAGCACCTAAAACTAAAACCAAGTTCTACCTCAGCTCTCAAGTTTCAGGTGCAGACCATACCATACATGACCAGAATGGATCTGTTACAAACACTGGGCCCAGCCAGGCCAATGCACTACTGTTCCACTTGCATGCCAGAAGCAGCATAGTTTTGCTTAATGGGGTTAGTGACAGCAATTATTCTCAAAAGACAATCCCTTTTGAAAGAAAGAAAAAAAAAAAATCTACTCATTTCAGAAAGCAACAGTATGCAGATACATGAAATTACAAGTCTATACAGGAAAAAGCATGACATTCTGTGACACTAGTAATCATGTGAGTTATCAAAAAGAAGAACCATGCAGTTTTGGTGAGTTTACTCCACTTCAGCTGAAGCATCCTTTCTCAGTGGCTGCATGAAAACCACATGTAACTGCAGAACCAGAAATACTGAGTCAAATATATTAGAAAAGGTTTTTTCAGAGGTTTTTACAGAACATTTTTTACAAACTTACTGATGACACACTCAGATATTAAATTGTTTTAACAACAGTTTAAGAAAAAGCTACATAAACTTTTGCCGCAGCCAAGTTAAATGAAAAAATTTCTACCACATGATCATAAAAACTAACTTAACAATTCGACATCTCTACCACCAGCAAACACACAGCATGCAATCTACCATAAAAGAAAAAATAATCGCGGGGGGGGAAGAAAAAAAGAAAAGGTGATTGCGCACAATCTGAGTTTCCAAAAATGCGTAAGTTGTATTCTTTAAATTCAAACAATTTTACAGCTTTGCTTTAGAATTTGTA